AAAAACTGTTAATGCTTCATATAAAATATTATACATTTGTCTGTATTCATTCATTTATTCTTATAATGATCAATTAAATCTATTTATTGTTGAACTGGTTTCTCAATTACTATTTCTATATTGTTTTCAGATATATTTCTATATTGCTTGAAGATAGGGCGTCAACTTTTCTATCAATTGGAGCACCAGCTGCTTATTCAGCCTAAAAAGCTTGACAAACTTGATTTCATTTATTTCCATAGCGTTCATGGGTTGTTGAAATTGCCGTGGAGGATTTTCTTCTTGTTTTTCTGCATCTACAAGTTAATTCAATAATACTAAAATAGTTTCTACTACAAAACACGATTCGAAACACAAAAACTTACCTTGAAGATTGTTGAGAACAATTCCATACAAACCCGCTCTACTCTCTGTTAGAAAATCTCTTAAATTGCTCCTTATTTTATGAACACTGTAAAGTTTTATTTATGAAATTCATTATTTCGAGTTAGAACCGAAATCAGAGCACAGCATGTAGTGTGTGGTTATAAAACCGGTGAACGATGCGTTCCCGCGAGATTTGGCAAGAGAAGCTTGTTCTACTGCCGTTGCCTGATGGGATCACTCGATCGCGTTGAAGAATACCAATATTTGCTTCACGAGAGAACCACGCCCTTCTTTCTCATGTGATCGCCGTTCCCAGTTTCGAGAATTGGGCCCGGGGCCCGAGAATTGGGCCCCGAATTGGGATTTTGCACGAGTGGCTTGCATCTTCAGAGGTGGTTTGCACGAAAGCTTGCACTGTACTGATGAGCAGCATGCACTGCTTTTTTACTTTAGCGATAAATCCGCTTTCATATTTTACTGGAACTCGCTTTAAATGTTCAAATTATCGTTAATTTTGTTGCAGTGTTTTATTTATTAGGGTTTTTTTATTTAAATTCAAAGTCAAATAATGCTCAGTAACAGATAGGGATGATTCGATACAAGTAAATACAAGTAGGTATTCGATACTTTTGCTTCGATACCGAGTACTTTGGTAATTAAATCGTTCTTTCGATACCAATACTTGGTATCGAAATAAAGTGCTCGTATCGAATTGAAGTATCGCATCGTCGAAAATAATCAAATTATCAAAACTGTAAACACTGTCACAACCAAGACTATTGTCAATCGCCTTAACTGAACTTAAAAATAGTGAAAATTGATAAAAACGTCATTAAACGTGAGTTATGTCACCCTTACTGACCCAGCCTGACTGTAATATGGTACCATATAACAACTAGATCAATTAGATCAATATGCGTTATGACACCCTTACGTGAAGTACCGCCTCTTAGATAGTGATTATTCGATACGAGTAAATACAAGTAGGTATTCCATTCTTTTGATTTCGATACCGAAATACTTGGTACCGAATCGAATTATCAAAAGTGTAAACACTGCCCACAGAACATATATTTATGAAGATATAGGATATTTTATGAAGTCTATTTAAGAACTTGAGTTGGAATGAGCACATGTCACAGCCATCAACATCTAGCTGTTCTAAATTAGAAAATATGTTGGAAGGAAAAAGTTTTTTTGATGCTAGTACGGATAGTAACATACCTCCAGAAAGTACTTTAGAAGACGCAGTTTTGCAAGTTTCGGCCAATAAGGAAAATAAATTATTTCTAGTACGTTTTCTTTATCGAATATAATAGATATATCTATTGTGGAGGGAGGTTTAAAATACAACAAAATAGTGCAGGCTTTAGCGTTGTTTGTTTGCAATTATTACCTTCCTACATTGTGGAAGGAGAAGCATTTTTACGCCGTCTGAACGTGCTTCAACCTAATTTTAAAGTAATGTAAAGGTAAGTGAATATCTATTTCCTAAAGCTGGTTTCCTAAATATTTGCAGCAACTGATTTTTTGGGAAACCTTCAGAAATAATATTTTTTGTTTACCTTATGGCAATAAATGCATTAAAATATATTCCATGAATTTTATTATAATACCTTATTTAAACCGCTTTTTTACAGTAACAGTTAATTTCGGTCTTGAAAAACTCATCGAAAATGTATACTTAAAATGTTTTTATGACGATTATACGTAGAGTCACTCAATATCGAGTCAGTCAATAAAATTGTGAGTAGGTAATGGTTTCGATACTTTCAGAATACTGATATGAGCAGTATTGCAAGACGATTTGCTTACTACTCATTTGAGTAAGTATCGATACTTTCAGAATACTCATATGAGTTGTATCGCAAGATGATTCGGTTACTACTCATTTGAGGTACTCACAGGTAGTATCGTCCCTAGTAACAGGCGATTAAATATCTATAAAATGTATTTTTCATATTTAAAATAGCTGGCACAAATATCGATATTTAAAATAGCTGGCACAAATATCGAGTAATCTGCGCAAGAAAAATCGAACTACTTAAATTTGTTAAAAGTCTTTGGTAAGCAGCACTTTTTAACTTTTTAACCAATTTCTAGTTTATCTATTGATGCATTATGGCAACAGGCCTGAAGTATATTAGCTATTCCTAAAAAAAAAAACAGATTATTGAGTCTCTCATAAATGGTATTTTATCTTTAGGTAATACCTAATTTCAATTTTGAAAAATTATGAAAACATGTCTTGCTAATAATTCATAAACACTTAATAAGCGCTTTTTTCGTTTAAAGTCAGCGTGTCAAACACTGAGTAAAATGCAACAAAACCAAAGGTTAATTTCGCTCATAAAAAGTACTTCATAACCAACAAATACAATAATTACTTTGAAGTTACTTAATTTACAGCTACATAATTATATCGAAAGGACTGGAAAACATTTGAATTGTCTTAAAACTTCTGCAATGGCTTGTACTTTACTGTGTACGTTTTACGATCAAAAGCAACACAGCCAAAAGCGAGTACTTAGTGTGTAAAAACTACTGAGCGTATTTTATGAGTGGCGGCTTTTAATAACTTTCGGCTCTAGTTTCACTATTTATACCGCCATTGTAAATGTATCGGTTAGAAACTTGCTGATAATTCAAAAACATTTGCTTTTTGCGTTTAAAGTTAGCAGGGAGAACGTGGAATGTCCAATAGAACTCTTCTTTTCGACTAAATTTTCAAATGAAAAACTATTAGCCAAATGTTGATGGTGAAGAGGAGGAAAATTCTCATAAGCAGCGGTTTAAATTACTTTTTACATTTAATTGTGATTTTATTTAAAATTCTTGTAAAACCCACATGAAATTTAGCTCTCCGCTCTGTCCAGCTTCACACTTAAAGCTTACGCTTAAATTACTTTCGCTAGTTATAAATATGGCAAAATAATCTCAGGACGACCTGTAGATTAATTACTTGTCTTTCGAATCGACTTTCTATAATAAAAGGTCTACACGATTAAAAACGTTTAATGGGCTGAGAAATCCTTGAGAGCCGATTGTGAATTATCCGATAAACTGAATGACTATTTATACTCCTATTTAAAATTTATGGATTCATGACCTGCCATCGATTCAAAATCCTTTCCATTATATTTTTTGCACTTAAAATCAGCAGAGCAAACATTAAAAAATGTGCAAAACACTCTGGCGATTAGTTCATTAAGTCTAAAAAAACGTATTAATTACTCAATAGTTTGGGGTATCAAATGATGTTTAGATGTTCCCAAAATTATTTAATTGCTTTTCCAATTGACTTTTCGACCCCAAAATTGGAAATAACTGATAATAATGCCAGCGAAATGAGAGTTTTGACGAAACATTTCTCTTATAAGCATCGATTTAATTACTTTCTACATTTGCTATGTATGAACTTACTGCAAGACGATATGACAAAATTATTGAAGTTGATTATATTGTTTTTGAATGATCTTTTTATATGTAAAGCAAGAAGGAAGAAACGTAGAAAAATGTGGAAAAATCCATCAAAACTTGCCCAAGAATTTCTCAGCAGTGGCAATTGAATTACTTTCTACTTTCCCTATTTGTAATTTCAATGGAAATTTATATTAACGCATCTGATAATGATTGTTTAAGGTTTAAAATGCAGTTTTCACGCTGAGAAATACATGGTGATTCAAAATTGGCGTAATCCCTTTTAAGGGGTAATAGGGGCTCTTGGAAGGTACGAGAAAAATATTAAAATTGGAAAAAAAATTAATTGAAAAAAAAAAAATTTCCGATAATTTCTAGAAGATATTAACAGTTAAAAATTGAATTTCAACCTTTTTATTAAGCATTATTTTGAAAGTGTTCCATGTTTAATTGGAAGCATATTGAAATACTTAAGCATTCAAAAATAAAAATGACGATCTTTGCTTCAATTTACGAAAATTTTTGATATTCAAAAAGTTCTCTTCTACAATTTTTTGATGAAAAGTAAAAGCGGCAATGATGTTTTGGCCTTGCCCTTGCCAATAATAACAATAATTTGTCAAAATGGGACTTACTTTGAATTTCCTTTCACGCATTTGCGGATATGCGATTAGTTCAGGGGAAATGCTACAGTAACAGAGCAGAAGCTGAAAGAACTCACGCCAACAAAGGGCGCGGAGAGTGGTTCCAGGAAGATAGTGGACGACAATTGATATTCAGGTTCCAGACACAGAAGAACAAGTATTAAACATAATTGTAGAAGAGCCTTTCAGGGGCACTCAGAACATTGCACAACAACTGACACTTTCCCAGGCACCAAATAAATACCGGCTACATTCCTATCACGTATGTAAGATTCACATTCAACCAATGGATAACTGAACACCGGCTTAAATTGAGCAGGAGTTAATTAACCGAATACCTGAAGCTGCCCGAGAAGAGTGCATAGTAAGGTGATTACACAGGCACTAGCTTGTTACTGGTTTGGAGTTACAGACTCAAATGTATGTTTTTCTAATTTGTAACCAAATTAATAATTCGAGGTTTTGAGTTTCGAAATAAATTCCTGTTGAATTTACCTTTTATCCTTGTTCATCTTATTGTCACTTTCTCTATTTATCCAAGGTTTCCGGAGATTTAAATAATTACAAAGCAACAGGTATTTACGTAATGTTAATGCCAGATTACCTTGAGAAACATTGTTGCCGTTTTTCCAATTTAGTTTTTTTGCAAATTTCTCAATTTTTAATAGCAATTATTTTTTTACTCTTTTTCCTGTACTCCTAAAACGCCGCCAGATAACACCTCCAGAAGAATGACGCCAATTTTCTAATCTAATGAGATAAGTCTAATGAATAACAACTCTAATAACTTACTTTCAAGTTTCGCAATTTATAATTCAAGAACAAAATGGTGTCAAGATGATTTGAAAACGGTGTAACTGTTTTTGAATCCACACTTTTTAAACTCAATACCAGAAATAAACATGTAACATAAACAAGTGCAACAAGCAGTTTAAAAAAATTAAATTAATGTGTTAACAACTATTTAATTACTTTCTACCTGTACTATTTATGATTAGCATGCAAAATCACCTGAAGACAATTTGGAGTTTAATTAGTTGTCTTTCCAATCAACTTTTTGAGGGACCCATATAAAACTTAAAACTTTCTCAGTTTCTTTTAGTAACATTTACTGTTGTGTTGCAAATTAAAATCAGTTTAGGAACAAATAAACATTAATCTTTGCAAGCGGCTCACATAAACCATTGAAGTTATAGCTGTTAAATGTGATTGAAAATCGACCTGATGTGTTCTAAACGCCATAAAAAAACACTTTTGCATTAAAAATCGACTGCTAATGAACAAATCTCCAATGTCCTACAATAACTTTCAATACATCTCAATATTTATTCGATTAGAGATATTAAGATCAATTTATGAAGACAGTCCGCTAACAAAAGCCGATTGGAGAAAAAAATGGCCCATGTCACAGTAGCTCGGAGTAGAAAGCGTGAAACTAAATTCGAAATAAACATTTTGGCACCAAATGTATCAGTTGGAAACCGTATAAAACGGTTTATTTTGTTATCGCATCATTTTAAATTTAGCTCTTTTTTTGTTATTTCTGTAAGTCCAGGAAGCTGTCAGCTAGCCTAGTTGCACAGGCAAATGCTGAATTCATTAAGCGAATTGACGATTGATTCACATTTCCGGTTGTTTCATTTGCCATCTTTGGAGAAAACAATGCCGAGCGTTTACGCTCCGATTGGTAGACGCTAAAAATAAATTCAGTACATCCCAAGGCTTATTAAAGAATGGTAGTATGATGACAAACATTGCGCAATTGTCAAGTTCAACAGTCGAAAATTATGCTAAAACTCACTTAGTAGATTTAAAGTGACCCCATTTGACGCCAATAATTAATTGAGAACTTTGTTCGCGAACGTTTGTCGGTACATTTTGAATTTTAAACGCGGTTTTCTGCCAAACTAATCCTTTTCAAATGTATGCAGTGCATTGCATTTAAGTAAGTGACCCAATTTGAAAAAATCAGGCGGACTTAGATCCGGATTTCTTGCAGGCCACAGCATTTACATGCTAATCAGTAGTAAGCAGCATCCGTTGCAAGAAAACAAGTCACACAATAACAAACATCATTATCCCTACTGTTTGGCCACTGGAAAATGGGAAAATAATTGACCAAAAATAGATGAATACTAAACATACAATATAATAAAAAGAGGGCAGGATAACCTCAATCAAGTCGGCATAGTTGATGAACTAGTTTCAAATTGGAATGCTGTTCTTTAAACGAAAAATTAGAAACCGTTGAAAAGTGGAAATGTTGTGGTCTGTTGGGGGGCTAAGAAAAAGTTAAATTAAAGTCTAGTAGGTAACTGCTATGTCTTTGCTGAGGTAAGCGAGGTATTACTATTTTGAAGCTTCCATTTAAGTTCTACAATTATGATTATGTTTGCATAATTTCGATTTTAAACAATTCATACTAAAAGTCTCAGTCAAAAATGTTATTTTAAGTTACATTATTTTCAATCGCT